ACACGCAGAATTTCCCTATTGAACGATTGCTAGAATTGAACGTCTAGAGATTCTATCTTTAAAAGTCTATTCTTGGGGTGATTTTCATCTAAAGACACCAATTTCGGAATTCGATTGATTGATTGACCATCTAAAAAATAAAAAATTAATTGGTGTTTCTAAAAATCGTTATCATGCAAGATCCCTTTCAATAATATAGTGCTCAAACCCAGCAGCTTCCAGGAAATAGAGGTCCGCCTGCTTTAATTGAATGTAGATGAGATTATATTACCGGATTCAAAATCAACAAAAACTGAAAATTTCTAACATTGAAAAACCACAATTCTACTATTTCATTATCAAAGGGAAAATTTCTACTATTGCTTATAATTTTGAGACTCGGGCATATAAGTAGGGATAAATGAAAAGACAGTCCATCCATCGGTCAAATAAAATTGAAATTGCGATTTTGAAATCGCAATATGGTTTGGATTTATAACTTATTCGGTTTGGATTTTGAAAGTAAAAAGTCGAACTGTTTGATCTAAGCTATATGATTTGCTTGTTCTATTTATGCTTCAAAAAATATACTTGCTAAAAAACGTGAAAACGCGCTGCTTAGGTGCGCCTAGGCGCGATGCGCGACCAAAACGCGTCGAATTCGGGAAATGCCGGAAAATGAGTTTTCCAACTAAAAGGCGCGCCTGGCGCGAATTAGGTGCGCATTATCCCGCCTAATTTCCTTTTTTTTCTTTTTTTCTTTTTTTCTTTAATCTTTTTTTTTATATATATTAAAAAATCTATTTTTTTATATAAAAATGTATTTAATGCCTTAAAAATACGAAACGCATTATGACGTTTATTCTTCGCATTGACACGCCTAAACTTGTGATTCTTGATTCTCAGCCTCGACGCTTCGCAACGCATTACGCATTTTAGAACACTGCTTGTATTGGCTCTTTAGGCAAATAATGATTTATGATAATATTTTATCTTATTTTATTTCGGAAATAATGAATTTTAGAAGCAATTTTATGTTTAGAATGTCTTAGTTTTAAGTATTATATTGACATTTTAGACCAATATTTTTTTTTAAAATATTATTTTTATGTCGTTAAAATAATGTATGAAACAAAATTGAACTAAAAAAAATATAAAAAATTATTATTATTAATTTGATGAAAATAAAATTTGAGAAAATGTAAAAACCGAACAGTATTCAGCCAGGTCAGCATTGCAAAGCTGGCTAATTATAGACATGATTCCGTTTGGGCCCACCAAATTTTTTAAAGTAGAATTGACTAAGAAGCAGTTTAACAGATGTAACTAAAGAATTAGCGCAATAATATTATAATTGACGGTGGTCTTATTTGATATGAGGACTTTCAAATATTCCTCTGGTGCTCCTAAAATTTGAACGGTCAGAAGAAAGTATACTTGTTGCCCACGTCTCTACGAACGTCCCATTCAAACATCTCTACGAATTTAATTTAGAGTCAAACTTTATACATGACTCATTTTCAATCGTATGAACTTTTAATAAAATAGTTAATCATAATGTAACTAAGCAATTTGCAACACTCGGATCACTTATTATGGTGTGACAATCATTTATCACGAACATATAGAAATTAATTACAAATCTTACGACTTTCCCCCAATTCAGTGTGTCACGCGCATCATGAATTATTGAAACTACTCTTTCATTACATGTTTATGGTATTCTTGCATACCTCTTGAATCAAGTTTTATTTGATGAACGAATTACATCAGTCTATATCTCATAAGACTACTGCCACATTATCCATTGCAGTTGTGTTACATTTTTATACATTGAATACGTAGCAATATTGTTACGTAACCTTGTACTCTCAAATAAATAAAAGTTAATTGATGAGTTGGTAATCAAGACATCAATTATTCTCGACGAATGTTGAGATTTTTTTTAGAAGTCCTCACAATTCATGACATCTAGTGATCTCAACTATATCGAGATTACTAAGTTATGTTTTAGATAAAGAACTTGATCCGGTGTTTGATGCACAATATGGGGGTGTTTGATGCACATTATGGAGAAGAAAATGCATTTCATGATGTGATGTGATGGAAAATATGTAGTTAAAAAATAAGAAAAATTTTGAATTTACGTGTAATATTATTTTATTGAACAATGTGTGATCGAAAATGAGTTTTGAAAGAATGATTTTTTTAAGAATGTTTATCAAACCTATTATAATTATGAGAAATGAGCAAAGACCAAATGTGTATTAAAACTTAATGGGCTACTTTCAACTATTTTTATGCTACTTTTGTTTAGACTATTGACTTCTAGATAAGGAATAAAAGTTACTGTGGAAGTTGGATTTGGTGAAATAGTTTTAGACAAGTAGGAAAAAATTAAAGTTTTACACATCATAGATTCATTGTAAAAGTTATAGCACACCATTGGTTTGTCTATACAATCACACAAGAATCAAACCATAGATTCACAGTAAAAATTGTCGAAAAATGATTTTTGTACATAACTATTTACATAATGTTTTATATAATACTGTGTCAAAATTTAAGTGAAAAAATTATTTGATTGATGGGATTTTTTTCCAATTAAATCTTTTCATATTATTTGTTAATAAATTATTACATACATGTAGCACAAACCTAATCCGCCCCCGCAGTTAATCAGAGACAGTCAAGACTGGGATATTGTCACATAAAATTTCCAACTTAGGTTGGCCCTCCTTAATTTGTCCATAAGCACACAATTGGTTTGTCTTATACTTGCACGAGAATCGATACTAATTAATCTTGTCTTATTTAGTCCATAATTGATTTTCATTATTTTCAAAATACATTTTTTTTTCAATCACATATTTTTCAATAAAATAATATTACACGCAAATTCTAACCACATATCCTCCATCAATTTATTCTAAAATGCATTCTTATAAAAAAAAAAAAAAAAAAATTTTTTAGCAGCCGGCTGGAAAAAATTTTCTCACCAAAAAGGTGGGAAAATTTTTTCCTCAAAAACATGGAAAATGCTGACGTGGCGGGTTGGGGAGGAAAATATTTTCCGTGGAAAATTTAGGCTATCAAACAGCGCAAAAGATGGAAAATGGAAAAAATTTTCCATTTTCCATGGAAAATGTGGCTAATCAAACAGAGTCTTAATAAAATAGTTAATCATAATGTAACTAAGCAATTTTCAACACTCGGATCACTTATTATGGTGTGACAATCATTTATCACGAACATATAGAAATTAATTACAAAACTTACGACTTTCCCCCAATTCAGTGTGTCAAGCGCATCATGAATTATCGAAATTACTCTTTCATTACATGTTTATGGTATTCTTGCATACCTCTTGAATCAAGTTTTATTTGATGAACGAATGCAAATATGACATTTAGCCTTTCTGATGAATTACATCAGTCTATATCTCATAAGACTACTGCCACATTATCCGTTGCAGTTGTGTTACTTTTTTATACATTGAATACGTAGCAATATTTTTACGTAACCTTGTACTCTCAAATAAATAAAAGTTAATTGATGAGTTGGTAATCAAGACATCAATTATTCTCGACGAATGTTGAGATTTTTTTTTAGAAGTCCTCACAATTCATGACATCTAGTGATCTCGACTATATCGAGATTACTAAGTTATGTTTTAGATAAAGAACTTGATCCGGTGTTTGATGCACAATATGGGGGTGTTTGATGCACATTATAAAGAATTTGATCCGGTGTTAGACTATTGACTTCTAGATAAGGAATAAAAGTTACTGTGGAAGTTGGATTTGGTGAAATAGTTTTAGACAAGTAGGAAAAAATTAAAGTTTTACACATCATAGATTCACTGTAAAAGTTATAGCACACCATTGGTTTGTCTATACAATCACACAAGAATCAAACCATAGATTCACAGTAAAAATTGTCAAAAAATGATTCTTGTACATACATAACTATTTACATAATGTTTTATATAATACTGTGTCAAAATTTAAGTGAAAAAATTATTTGATTGATGAGATTTTTTTCCAATTAAATCTTTTCATATTATTTCTTAACAAATTATTATATACATGTAGCACAAACCTAATCCGCCCCCGTAGTTAATCAGAGACAGAGTCAAGACTGGGATATTGTCACATAAAATTTCCAACCGAGGTTGGCCCTCCTTAATTTGTCCATAAGCACACAATTGGTTTGTCTTATACTTGCACGAGAATCGATACTAATTAATCTTGTCTTATTTATTCCATAATTGATTTTCATTATTTTCAAAATACATTTTTTTTTTCAATCACATATTTTTCAATAAAATAATATTACACGCAAATTCTAACCACATATCCTCCATCAATTTATTCTAAAATGCATTATTATAAAAAAAAAAGA